GAACTCGAAGACCCTGAATTTTAAATGTACAAATAAAATCTTACGGAATGGTTGAACAAGGAAGAAGAAAAATTCTACTCTTCCCCTTAGACGGTCACATGAAACTATCCCACTTTGGACTGAGCAGAATACCAAAGTGTGCATCTTGACAGCCAGTGCGTCGGGAACCATCCTGATTACAGCTGAGACCAAAACACTGTTTGAGGTCAAGACCACAATCTGTCTTGCAGGCTGACGTGAGATCCCCAGATGTGTTCCTCGGCCTGTGGAACCCCCGGCTAACATAACCGCTCTTTGGGGTCTATGTTTGTTGCGGAGAATCCTTAAAAACAACGACCATGCATGTCAGCACTTTAGGGGAGTTCAGAGGATTGTTCTCGGAGGAAACTTCAACCACTGACGGCTTTAAAAACATATTGTGTTCACTGCACAGAAACTCAGTTTGTGTTTGTGCCTCATCAAAACCCACTAGTAAACATTCTATGTAAAGATGAGGATGACTCTGAACTTAAAAATACAATCTTTTATAAAATAGGTTGTCTTTTTTTTATCTCTAACTGGCAAAACAAAAATGAGACCATTTGAGTCAACAGTCTCTAAGCAATTCTTCACCTGTATGACCCACCTGCAGACTGCACCATTATTATCAGTGTATACCAGACAGGCCCCTTTTGACTGGGATCTCTGCAGGGCATCTGGTCCTCATTACACGCTGTATCTTTGGCCTGTTGGGTTGAAGATGACTTACACCGGGATGCCATTAGGCTTAAATAAAACACACAACACACTACACAATAAAGGGCATGTTGCTACCTAACTGCATAGGTCCACATGGTTGACTTTACATGCAGTTGTTCACAGTGGTGGTAAAGAGATGGTTCTCTTTTTCATTGGAACTAATACCCAGAGACAAAGGTGTTTGCCTTCTTTTTCTCCCCCTAAAACAAACTAGCCTTAAACCCACGAGTCATTAAGCATTGGACAAGTTCAGTCTCAAGCCAAGCAGTTACATGACATAAGAAAAGATGTGAGCCGCTGCTGAATGGATCAGTAGATATCTAGATTCCAGAATGCATTGGTCATAACTGTGAGGTGTCGTGTTTGCGTGAGATGTGAACTGTTGACCTCGAGGAAGTAGCCGTCCAACCGAATCATTTCACAGCGAGCTTTAATTAGTTCTCCTTGGTCCGTATGTCTAGTCTGGCCGTCGAGCGAGTGTGACGTCGGGCTTTAAAAATGTGATTCCCAAGCGGTGTGCTTAATGACCTGAGCACGCTTGAAGATACGTGAAGCTTTCGCACTGGGCTTTAAGGAAAGTCGTGACAAATAGGCATGCCCATTTTTCCTGACACAACAGTGCTCACGAAAGTGACGGCAATGAAGCCTTAAACTTTCATTTTGCGGGGCTTGAAGTCAATATCTGTCAAATTTTGTATTTGAAATGTCATACAAAGTAGGAGCATCAATAAGAGCAGATGATCAGATTTGTGTAGCACATGATGCCGGCACGGTGAGCGACTCATATTCTTTGCTGTTAAAACCCATTTGTTTATTCATTGTAGCCCACATCGTCTGGACAACATAGTAGCCAGCGGGAGCAGATGGACCAGTGTTGTTAATCGCCTCTGCATTGCTCCATTGGGAAATGAACCACTACAAATGCCTTTTAATCTAAATAGAACGTTACATTAGATGAAATATGTCTTATTCATGAGATAATCGACTTAACGATGATGAGGGGGATATCCGGGACAGCTACGTTACAGTTTAATGGGGGAAAAGCAACATTGGTAAATGTCAGGTCTTCAGGTACTTTGGACTTTGCAGTCTTTACTTCCACGTGAAAAGGTCAAACTTCTGACCATAATTGTGAACCAAACATTAATATGAGTTACGATATGAGGGATGACAGTTTGAAACATTTGGTTAACGTTGAAACAAAACAAAACATCCTAAGATATCTGGTTGTATTTAGACAAGAAAATGTGTCCTTTGGGTTCAATAAAAAAAACAATTTTTCATGATGATGTGTGATTCAAATTGGAAATGCAATATGCTCCCATGGGACACAAGCAGCAGTACTTCTCTGAGTAACTCTGAGCTGACCCATCTATTTACCAGGACCTCTTCATCATGCAGGTTTAATCAGTGCAACTTCTTAGTTTTGTATGTGCAAAAGATTTTGAGAATTTTACCCAGTCATGGCACTTAATGAAACATTAAGTCATCATCAAGTTATTAAAACTCATCCCGTCTGCACTAAATTCCAATAATTTATGAGAGATTTCCCTCAGAACAGCAAATGTGAAACTCCCGATGGAGATACCGAGCAACGAAGAGCTGAAAACATGAAAACCGTTGCTCTCATGCTGTTGTTTCAAAATATCTACCACAACTTTCTGACAGCTCCATATTCTATTCTGTATATGCACAGAATGCAGCCTCTACTGTAGTTTACTTATTTTTCTTGTTGAAATTAAGAAATGTGTGGAAATGAAATAAAAAAAATAAGAAACTTTATAAGTCCGCCACATTGATCCGCGTTGAAAAAGAGCACCACGAATGCATTGCACCCAGACAGAACAGCTTAATATTTCATTGCTTTTTGTGCCGTTGGCTGGGTCGTATAATATGAGATCCCACTTGAACTGATACGTCTGATGTACTCGCGTTTCAGTTGTCACCTGAAACCAAACAAAATTGTTATTCATTACACAAAAAGAAGAAAAAAAAATTGCCACTTGTGTCGACGCAGCCGCTGGAGACGTTGAATAGCACCTGATATTCCACGTTGAGGAGAGCTGGCGAGGGACGCCGGCAGACGTCCTCACCGGTTGTGCTGCATTCCACCTGCCGTCCTCGTAATCTTGTTGCCATCTGGTGGGGGACCTCGCTGTCCCCCTGCACCTCTGGTACATTAGTATACCGCTCACATCGAGCGAGGAAGACCGATGCGTGCAACATAAAAGAGTCAACACCGACGAGGATTGATCAAACTGCTACGGGGGCCCGCCTCCAGCAAAGCTGGCTCATTTCAGCTAATGAGAAGTTACTTTTTAATCTCCTTCACTGGGTTGTCCTTGTTTGTGGGCGATCCCACCCCCTCACAAAGCAAGCGCCCACAGATGGACGCACAATTGAGACGTTGTGTGCCTTTGTTGACATTAAGACCAAAGAAGAAAACCATGTAATGATCTTGGAAACGCATCAGCTTTTGGAAAATGTAAATTTAACGCTAATAAATCCCTAAACACCAATAATGCAAGTTATCATTCACAGTGTCTTGGTTTCCTTTGTCTGGATTTCATCAACGGCGTCAGTTCAACGAGTCACGTTGCAGCTTCAGGTCTTCTCTGGCTCCTTGACGTAGTTTTTCAGCAGGGGAAACCAGTCAGCAGTGAGACTGAGACTCCTTTGACTGGTGCTTCAAACGGCGTTCAGGGCTTACAGTGCGAACTGCGTTTGAAGACATGTGGCCTTTTCATTTCAAGAGAACTCCCTGACAGGAATCTATTATTGCATCATCATTTACACTTTTAAATTTGACTACTGTAGTAGAGTGTTGTTTAGAATTTAGGCCTCATCCTAAACGTGTCTCATATTTTCTCTTAATTTTCTATCAACTCCGAATGTACTAAATGTTTTTAACCTTTCAAATCTGCTCTTATGCGTGTGATTATAGGGGCGTGTGGCTGCTTATGTTCTTTTAGAATGGGTAACAACCCCTAATCACAAATAAGGGTATATATATGTATGTATAGGGCTGTCAAACTGAACGTGTTAGTTTATGAGAGCTGAGATTAACCAAATTAAAGAGAGCTTTTAGAATATATATATATATATATATATATATATATATATATGTTTACAAATGCTGTCTCTTTTTATAAGGCCAAAATGTGGACAATAAACAATTATTTGCGCCTTTCGAAGTAAAATGTAACAGCAGTTTGCAAAATCACATTCCATTATTTGTGTTTGCATTTTATCTCCAGTTCCATCATAAAATTACTGGTAATGTTCCTTTAATTTGACACTCATCTGTATTTGCTCAGCTTTGTGGTCTTGCCCTGCAGGATATGTGCAATATGTAAATATGGGAAAATGTGTCTTGAATTATGTCTAACATTCACACTATGCATTTAGAATCCTCAATATTTTCTATTAATGGTAATTTTATCTCTCCTTTGCAGCTGCCTGTGCAGTATTTCCCCTTGGAGATCAATGAAGTTCATTTTTATCTTCCTAAAAACCTTCCTATACACTCAAGATGGTTTTATTCTGCAGAGCAGTGATGAAGAAGTCTCAATAATACCCATTTGTAAATCTCGTACAAGTTACCTCGCCGGCAGTCTTTGCATTCTCAAAGGAAGGAAACGCAGACACCGATTGAACATAAATGAGGCATAAATAAAGAATGGTGCTCTGCTTGCATCATTTTCATCCAGAAACCTCATGGCCATTGTTATAATTCAAAACAGTGTAGTTGATCTTCTTTTGCGCTTAAAGCCTGTGGGTAATGTATAACGTGCATCATGGGAAATAACTATATCCTGCCCTTTTTCTTCACATTTGTTAGTACTCAATCACAAAACCGTTATCTATTTCCCTTTGCTCAGTTCTTACCTCCATGTTTCTAATTTCTAAAATTGAGAATAAAGTAGAAGATGCTTGTTTTCCGTTTAAACTATTCTCACTAACTCTCTTTGACCACAAACACAGAGTCGTTTTCATCACATTAGGGAACATTAAATTTACCTTAATTCCTTCCCTGCAGGCTAACCCCAACTCTAACAGCAACACTCAAATATAATGACTTACAATTGTCCCCCCCTAAAAAGCAGGTACCCACATTGTGTTTGTGTTAACACATTTTTGTGTGGGTAATAAAAGCGCGCGCGCACACACACACAGAACAGCTAACTACTATTCTGTTAGTTATGTCAGATCTAAGAAACAAACATATGTTTAATGAAAATGGATTCAGATGAACGCAACCCTTAATTAACACTGTTATCTTAGTCTTTATTTTGTCACAATTGTATGTCAAATATATATATACGCCTATATGACATATATTATATGACATATATAATTTTATTTCTTTACAATAGAGAAACAACAGAGATGACACACTATTTTGGTTTCTAAGTAGAAGCTCCTTTTAAATAGTGACATTTTTTTCAATACACTGTTTAGTTCAAGCTCCCACTCAAGTCATGGTTTTGTTTTCCTTATCGAGTCACATTTATTCACATTTATTCATGTGTTTTTGTTTGTCTCTTCTTCTTTATAATTAGACGTCAGTATTTTTTTTTTGTTGTCGTTGTTGTCTGCAGTTCAATCTGTTCATGTTTCATCAAAATTGACGTCCATCTGTGTGTTTCCGGTCCGCGTGGCCTCACAGACAGTTTCCGCCTCCCAACCATCCCGCGCCACCGGCAAACACGCAGTACAGTCACCGGGAACAGCGTCTTTACGGCGTTAATCCAATCAGCTCGCAGAGGGGCTGGCGCGAGCGCCTCCGGCTCCTCTGCAGCCGGGCGCTTTGCCGGCCAGGGAGAAGTTCGCGCCTCCGCCCGCGTGGGACGTCTGACCCCGGCAGTGACCCCGGGCTTCTCTCTGGCCCGCTGCCTTCAAACCTCTGGTCCCTCCGCCGGCGCGCGGAGCCCCGGCCGGATATCGGGGACAATTCCCCTCCGACTCCCGCGCGGCCGCGGCCTCTGGAGTGTTCGAGCCGCCGCGGTGGATCTTGCTCTGAGACCCGGGCATTTTCGCCGGGCTGGAGAGGCCTTTCTGTTTTAATTCCTGCGCCGGCTCCACGGGGATTTCAAAGGAGCGGGGCAGCGGCGCAACGACGACGGCCACACCCTCACGCGGCGGGGAGGGAGAACCGCCCGGGGCCTCCGCCGTCTTTCCAGCCGACCCGGGGTGCCACTTGGGGAGCTCCCGTTGGTTCCGCTCGCTCGTGTCGGCGCCGTCGAGGTCGCGCGCTTGGAGGGAGGGGATGATGGGCACGGAACGGGTGCGCAGGGAAGGGGGAAGGTAGGGAGTGGCCTTATCCAGACGGGTGCACGGGACCTCCGTCCATCCCTTTCTGGTTGCGAAGTGAGGGAGGGAGGACCTGCCGAGGAGGATGCCGGTCTTTCCGCCGGCAGAGTCACACCTTGAGGCAGAAGAATAGAATAGAAATGCCGGTGTGAGAAAGAGCAAACAAGTCATTAAACTAGTGGCCTTTTGTCCGAGAAACCTAATATACAATATGGAGATAAAAGATGCTATTCTTTTGTGCTTTTTACAATTTCATTTCCCTCATTAGATCGAACAAAAGAAAGTCTTGCACCAAAGAAAATACTATTCAGCCATTGTTCTCTCATAATTGTGTGTGTATTATTTATAATCCTGGACCAAAGCAGTCCATATTTTTGCTGCATGCGCTTGAAAAATCCCTTCATTCTTGACCGTCTAGAAACACAGCAGCTGGGGTGCCTGACCTCCGCCTGCGGGAGGTTGTGGAATAATGTCTCTCCTTGAACCCGTGTCTTCTAATTCCACTGCACAATCAGAACACACCTAATCATGAGGATTCACAATGGGACAATGGCGTCATACTGTAGAGTGTGTTTGCATCCTGCCATCAAGTATGAGGGCGTTATCATGAAAGGCATCGGTTTCAGTGTGAAAATAATACAGGAGAGCTGGGAAACATATCCAGAGTCAAGTGGGTACGTTTGTACATCAGTTGAACGTACAAAAGAGCTAATATTGTTACTGAAGACTCAATACACATTTAGAATCACCCTGGCAAAGCCTTAGGAGACAGCCAGTGTTACTGTCAGCCCTTCAGAGACTGTTTGCAGCATAACCAAGTTTAAATTATTGAATTACTTTCCTATTCCTCCCTCGGTATTAGAAGGGCAAATGCTAGCTGGAGGTAAATCCGGCAGATCAAAACATAAAAATAACTCCCATGGCAGATTTTGCCGACAATTCTTTCCTTATCTGTCATGGGTAAATATATGTTTTGACACTAGATAATGAAACTGACAATACTCTCCGGGGATTTGTTTTCACAAAAAGGAAAACGTGGCGGTGTTCTCGTGTTTGTTTGCTGTCGTCGCCTCAAACACTTTCCACCGCACTCCGTGCCTCCATCTTTCCTTCACTGCCCTCATCATCTCTGCACAATCTCCCTTCTTTCCTCACCTACCCCACTCGTGTTCTCTCACTCTCCTTTCCACCTCCCGTTTCTCATTTCCAGAGATGAGAGAGTGTATCCATGGCAACAAGGGAGAGGACGGGGGGGGGGGGGGGGGGGGGCTCGAACCAGAGGAAGAAAAAAAAAAAGGGGCTGTAAGCTTCGGTAGCTCGTATAGCTGTTAAGTCGAGAAACACGTCATTTGAACCTCCTGAAGGCGAGCGATACTTGACTGATGGATCCGCGAGGGAATTATCAACGGATAATTAGATCCAAACCCTAATCCTCAGCTCCGCTCCCAAACACTGTGTTGGGTTAAATTGCCTATAGTCTACAGATTTCTCTTTGTCTCATCAGTTTGCTTATTTGTTAACACCAGCATGTGTGTGTGTGTGTGTGTGTGTGTGTGTGGGGGGGGGGTTAAGAGGGAAGCTGCTCCTGGAGGATCTCCCCCCCCTCACAACCATTTGATGGGACCGCCGAGCTCCATGGAGCTTTGTTTAAAAATGTAAATTATGGAAATAGGTCACATAAAGAGTTTGGCGGCTCGGAGTGCATCTCACAAGCCGATCAGATCGGCGTGCTGGTGGAAACGTGGCGCGCCACTTTTTAAGCGTGTGGAGGGCGCGAGGAACGCGACCGCGGCGACAAGTGTTTTCCCATAGCGGCGCCGGCGTTCGAGTCGCACACACCGACGGCAAATTGGGCCGTTGCGGAGTCGTGTGCTGAACAGGACTTCCTTCCTGAGGCCGAAAGAGGATGTTTGGCATCCTTAAATCTAAAATAATTCAAAGTTTTAGTTTGAGCACGTTATGCACGACTATAATATACTAAACAAGCATTTCAATCATCAGGGAAGGATGTATACACATGTTACATGTTAATTCTCATTTATAATCTGAAGATCATTGAGGCAAAAAGAAAAACCTTAACTGAAATACTTCCTCCTTGAAGACGTACGGTGAACATCCCTCTTTGATAAGTGACGTCCAAACAGAATTCCACTTCACGCTATTCTTTTGAGCCAACGAGGATCACCAGACTGTACTTATAAAATGTGTAAGTTGTTTTAAGCCCCCAGATAGCCAACTGGCGAGAGGTGTCTCTGCCAAAAAAAAAAAAAAAGCCCTCCCTGCTTCCAAAGCCTCCTTGAAACAGCGCCAGGAGCTGTGCTTCACCGGTGATAGCCATGAAATAGGGCACCTCGCCGTCCTCACTCGACATCAGAAGGAGCATAAGAAGGAGAATTTAAGAGGCGTCAGTGCCTGAAATCGATTCTTTGCAGTCTTGTTCTAGAAGGCTGCAGTCAGTCGACCGTCGCGTCCTCGCGTTCAGCTCGTACATACGCGGGAACATGAAATTAACTTCAGTTGATATCTTCACCATAATGCTTCGACGTTTACACGTGTCTAGAATGGATGGTCGTTGGCGAATATCAACCCGTTCTGGAGATTCATGTGCGTTTCCAGGCCTGCAGATAAATCACATCTTTATTCACGGCGACCACCCAGCAGCCAGTGTGGGGCGCGTCGCACGCAGACTCATTTCCTGGACTTCACCAGCACCGTGACGCCGTCGAGCAGCTCTCCAGTGTTGTTCTCCAAATGAATTGTGGCAGTCTCAGTCGAAAGGAGGGCACAGCAGATCTAATTTGTTTCCCTGGATCAGATTCCATGAGGCCAGTTGGCGGATTTCAACTCGAGCATGAACCTGGATTTTCTTTTTTTTCTCCAGCGGCCAGCGTCACTGGACCGAGTGTTTGATGCCGGCGGTGGAAAAAGGGGCGAAGATGATTTCCTCATTGCGACTCACGCCAACACAACAAGACTATAGAGAGAGAGAAAAAAGCTTCACCTTCTCATGGACTCCACGTCTGCTGGCTCGTCCTCCTGCAGGTGTTTGTAGACGTGGCCATTCGCTCTGGATCCTTCGATGAGATTCGTGGATATTTTGTGCTTCCCTGTGGAAATCGGTGGAGTCCTGAAGCAAAGCGTCTCCCTCCGTCGCCGGGCAGGACTGAGTGAAAGGGAACTGCTCCTGTGAGCAGGAGGGAACGTCGCAGGTTAAACACACTACTGCTACAAAACGTAGCATGAATTCAGAAACGGATTTATTGAATCAAATGTATCTCATCTCCCGGGTTCACCGGCATCACGCTACTCAATGTACACGACATGCACATTAAATCATTTGCCATGGCACAGTCGAATAGGAGAAAGAGAGGGAGAGAGGGATTTGACTCAAGGGTCAGTAGCTGTGTGAGGCCTTACTTGGGCTGAATGCTAACATTAGTTACAATGCTGATGATTAGCAGGTAATAGTTGGTTCACCACTTTAGCTTGTTAGCATGCTGATGGTTTGATGGTCATTAGTTTTGCAGGTTTTCAGTTACTAACCAAAGCGCTGGTGAAATTGACCTGACTGAAATTGACTGGTGAGCATTATTCAAGGTCTCCAGAGTCTTTTTTTTAATGAAAGATCTTTCCCTGACAACCACAAATATATACTGCAAAAATCAGAAGGACAATATTACCCCACATTATTTTTTAATGGCAAACAATCTAACAATCTCCAAAACTGATTAAATAATTTGGCATGGCAGCAGTGCCAAATACACAAAAAGACAACTATGTATAAGGTGGTGGACTGTTTTCCAGCTTGTCCTTCAAATAAACTCCAACATTTCCTTTAATTCAATCAGTCGACTAAAAAAATATGCAACTATAATAATTGCCAAATATCCCGGTCTGTGGAGCAATAAGCATGACTAAAGTTGACCCCAGTCTGATGTTGTGAAAAGTTATATTGATAAAGCTGAACCATGTCAATTTTGTTCCCTATCAGCATGCGGATGTTTTAATTAGAATTAACTAAAAGCTGAAAGATGGCTGTTGTAATTATTGAATGTTAAAGGTCTAAAACCGAAGGGCAGCTGCTTATCTCAACTACAAAAAAAATAAAAAAGTACAACTTCCTGATGCTAAATGGGTCAGACTCGCGGTGAGATTAATCAAGCACGTATTTCATTAAATCCTTCTCGGTTTGGGGTACTTTTTTTGGGATATACTAGAGAGAGGCAGAAAACACTGGAAGACAGAGGACGCGTGACAAGAATAAACAGCATTTCCCACAGAAACACACACGCAACGCACTTCTATTATAGTCTCTAATATATGCATGTGTTCACTCACTCAATTTGAGAATATTGATTAGCCTACAATTTTCTTCTAATCCAATCATGACAACGGCACAAATGACAACAATGATTGACTGCTGACTGTGTTATAATTATACATTAACTTGGACCCTGTTTTGTCCCTCAGATTTTGCTGCCAAAGCAACTTGGAATATGCTTGAGAACAGAAGGAGCTGCGTTGATTCAGAACTTGGAAATTATTGTTTTCCCCACTGACATTTGTACAACAGGCACTGTGCGACAGAGGTAGAAAGTGTTATTTTATAAAAAAAACGTGACTTGAGGGAGGAATGGAATTTGTCTTTTAAAGATATTGATTCCTGGCATTTCCTTTTGCTCCACTATTTTAGTTGAAGTTGAACCCAGGCTAAAGGTCAGCTTCATTATTATTATTATTACCATTAGAACCATTTACAACTGCAATTTAAATGAGCTAAGGATGTGTTTACTGCTATTTAACATAAGTTAAAAATATTCCACAACGCTAAACATGATTTCATGGTGAGGCTGTCTGTACGCTACAGTTATCATTCATCTGAACGTACTGCTCCTCGTTCCGGGTAAAGAGCAGGTGATTTTGAACATGGGATATAGATTCAGGGATTCATGGGATGTCCACGTTGTTTTCCACAACATTTACCAAAAGATAAGCTGTGCATTTAAACATTTAAATCAGTCTGCACGTGCTCATAAGGTTCTAAACCCTATGATACTCAGTTAACCTCTGGCAGCGATATTGACGGGACATATCGACACGCTTTTACGGAGCATTTCTCCCGATAGCCCCAAATGGGCTCCACGTCTCTCCTCTCAACATCATCCGTCACATTCGAGTTGTCCTGAGCCTCCTCTGAGGACCGGCCCAACACATGATTGACCGTCAGCTGCCCTCCGTGAAGCACCTGCACGCCACTGTGGGGAAAATAAAGCCCGGACGAGTCGGAACCATCCGCACAGCCACACATGGCAACCTTTCTCTCAGTTCCCCGTTATTATTAATCCTGCACACTTTGCTCCCTTTCATCGGTGTACTTTATCTCATTTTTCGTTTGTCTAAATGCGCACAGCAGTGTGGCGACTCTTCAAATAGACGCGTGGGGCCTGGCGCCTGTTCTCTTTTCCAGAGTTGCTTCCAATGTTGGAACACCGTCAGATGGAGCAAAAAGGGCAGACGTTTTCCAACAATTTGCAAAGTTGCAAAGGGCAAAAAAAAGAAAAATTCTGAAATGACTTGTTGCATGCTGTGTCGCTGAACGTCATCTATACTGTAATAGTGCACCTACATCATCACAGCACATGAGGCTTTTCTGTAAACATCCCGCATAGGGCCATTGTAACACGCAGCACGCTCTAAACCCACATGTGGTTCATCTTCTGTCACTCGAGGGACATGAAAGGAATCTGGTTGAACCGATGTTAAACTCTGCATATTAAACAGAGGACGTCTCCTCCTCTCCTCCTGCCTGCATCGGTGTGCAAGAACTTCTGCCTGAGCACACGTTTTTAATCACTTTGCACAATTTACTGGACATGTCGTGTCAATACAGACGTTTCCATTCAAAACTGTTTTGATAGCCAAACTAATAAGCATCCTAATAATATAATGAAAAATAATAGATTCAAACGAAGGATTTGCACACAGGACGTCTGTATTATCTACTCTGTTGCAGGATGGTCACATTTCCCACTCGGCTGCCTCTCCTATCTGAATACGGTGAACGAAATGAGACAGGAAGTAAGAGGATTTCACATTGTCACCTGAAGCGTTTCCCTTTGGACAGCGCTCTGATGAGAATGGGTGGGGCTGCTGTCGATGTGCCCGGTGCCACGCCGCTGCTCTTGACAGACGATCCGTGAGAACGGCAGCCCTGCGAAAGATGAAGCAGAATAATGCGTACAGCGAGCCGTAAAACGTGGTAATTCGGGATGTATCTTCCTTATTATCCTCGGGTTGAACATGACACACAAACGGGAAGTTGCTTTGTCATCATTTAGCCTTGATTCATTTGTTATGATTATCAAAATGAAATACAAGACGTTCAGCTGTAAGGGGATTTTATAAGTCAACACATGCAGGGGTTACTGTATGTGGTTAAGCAGCAAGTCCCCACTCAGGTTCAAGTCCCCAGCGAGGTCGAGGATGTTCTCTCACTGATGTAACCCCCTTAGTGCGGCGGAGTGTCCTTAATTACACTTTACATTTTAAACTGCGGATTAGGAGGGGACGCTTTGTGAATAAACTCCACCATGGCCCTCGTAACACCCCCGCCGCACTACAGAATTAATCCCACACAAGATTATATTAATGGTTTCCAAAGAATTTACCCCCTCAATTCTTTTCCTTTATTCTTATCAGCGACGAACGCCATTATCACACAACAGGCTGAGCCCTGCGCAGCGACCACGGATGCCCCGAGAACACCCGCCCCCCCCGTGTGAGGCCCTAAGTCACCAGATAATTCTGTTATTCCAGTTCCGCTACTTCCTGCACCGGCCTTTCTCTCCGTCTGATTTTACATCATTAATGTAATTGCATGTGACTTGGAGGCAGTTCGGGCCGCTCACGCCCGATAAACCTCTTTTTCTCTCCCTTGTACTCCCTTGACTCCCAGAGGGAGCTGTTACTGCTCTTCACCAGTTGTGCGAGAAAATAGGATCATTTCGGCCACCCTCTCATGTGCCCTGCAGGTGGAGAGAAACGCTCACTCTCTTGGAACAATTACTGTGGCAAACATTCCCAGAGGATGATATCGACGTCGGGGCATAAAATAAATAGTTTGTGGCGGACGGTGGCGGACGCGACGGCCGCGACCCATTCCGCTTGTTCCCTCCTTTCCCCCTTTTGCCGTGTTTTATGCCACTTTGTAAAAAGCCTCGGATAAACACACACAAACACACGAATGTATTTTAAGGGGGAAACACAGAAAAAAAAATGGGTCGATATGTTGTCCATCAACTACATAGCAAGCAGAAAGGCAAACCAAATGCGTTTGGAGCAGCATTAATCCTCCTCGGATTACCATCCAATCACATGTCCTGAACTCTGCATGATGGGACGTTTGAGCGTTCTTCACTGCAGATGCAGTTTACTGCTCAAACAAAGCAGTGAGTCCACGTGACGGCCATTGATAGCAGACGTGTTTTTAGGCTCTACAAGAGCAAAATGTTAATCACTACTTTCAGCACTGTGCACCGACGTGCACATTAGCATCGACGTTGTAACTGTTGACAGCGTTATTAATGTTGCAGCTGCACCGGATTTTCCTTTTATTAATCATGGCGCTACCTACGGAAGCTGCTGTCACAACACCGAGTGAACGAGTCGCTCGTATGGATCCTCCATGTGCTGCACCAGTACTGAGTTTAAAAAAAAAAAAAGAAAGTAATACAAAAACCCACATCTTCCAAAGACAGTTTTATGCACCTGCAACTTTAGCTTGTTGGACATATTTCAAACATTCCCTTAAGTCCACAATGTGTCTGTCGGACCACATGACCGTAGAGAATTATAAAAGTGGCGTTGGGGTAAGAGAACGCTCCCTTGTGCCACAGCAGATCTTTTTTATTGAAATACTTTTCTGTGGATTTATGTACACAGGGTTCTTATTATTCTCTACAGCCATGAAGTATTCATGCTGCCTTTACTCATTCCTAAAGGTTACCTCAGTTCTTTAGTTCCTTAGTTTATTTGTACAATCTGAAAAATACACAAACATAACATAGATAAATAATATCGGCGTGAAGGAAAAGGCCACTGGGCTTATAATATAGCATATGATAGTATAGAATAAAATATATATATAATAATAATACGCACGAGACATGACTGAGTAATATTGTTGACAAGATTATATGAAACCACAATACAAAGCAGCATATTGACTTTTTATAGAGATTTCTCCTCAGTCTTTTCTCAGAGTGCGACTAGTTAGTTTCCTCCAGCTTCAGTCTCAAGGGAGTTGAGTTTTTTTTCTAGTCTGGTCTTTCCAGCCCGTGTGCCCATCTCCTTTTATTTGAGAAACACTATTATTTGCCACACAGGGGTTGATTTAACTCTCAGAGGCGCGGGAGGCCTTTTACGATTCAATTACATTCCAATTTATGTTTTTCTTATGCTTTCCCTTAAAAGCGCCGTGAAACAACTCATGCTCTCCTCTGCGACTCGTATATATACTAATAGAGGTCGGGCTATTTGCGAAAAAGTGCAGGAGCGCCTGGAATCCACTTGCCTTTGGAAATCCCTATTCACAGATGGAGGAAACATATGCACGGGAGTTTCTCCAGATGTGTAAACATGTACAGGTATTTGGGTTGACAGATGGAAGAGACACACATAAACATGTGCAAACGCCGCTTGAGCCAAGGCGGGAGTGCAAAGGATTCCCACATAATAGTTGAGGGCGGTGAAGTACGCACAGTACGTCAGGTAACCTGATTTGGTCCAGGCCCTGCAGAAGGAAATCAACGCGTAGAGGTGATGTCGCCGTGTGTTGAATCCGTCTCTGCGTCGCTGCGGACGACGTCTTGCGCTCAGTGAGCTGAGGCGTTTTTTTTGTGGGAGGTTAAAGATACTCGAGTGTCGCCTCAGCTTAGGATACAGGCGACACCGACCGGAATGGACCTTCATCGCCCCCGTCTGCACCTGCCTCGACAGAGCCTGCCCTCATCTTCCACCTTGCTATCTCAAACGCACACAGCGGGGGAAAAAAAAATATATATGTTGAGCTTTCTGCTGCCCTCCCTTTGTGAGCTGTATCTTTCTCCGCTTTCTCGTCCTCTGTGCAAAACCCAGGGAACTCTCAGGACCACGCCACCACCCACAGGACGTCCTCTCCCTAGAAGGTTGGTAGCTTAGCGAGTGGGTGGAGAGAAGCAGTGGTCCCGGGTGTCGCTGTGGCAAACATGGTGGGAGAATCTTTTCCAGGTCTGTCGAGCTCGTGCCCCCTCCTGGGTGTTTATAGCCGGCGATCTTTAATGTCCCACCTTAAGCGCCCTTCACACTGTTGTGGTGTTATTGCTCATTTTCTGCGTTGGCCTCCCCTCCTGGCCTCCTGCCCGTGTCCAGCTCCGACAGCAGTCCGTGGCGGGATGCAAGGCGTCACTTTCATGACTACGGGCCTCGCTTCTGCACGCGTGTACAATAAACTGAACCGATGTGCTGGGACCGGTGGGGTGGCAGTGGAGGGTTTTGCTTTATGATTTTGTCTGTTTTGCAGTGGAGACGTTTTGTGTTGGAATCCATTTGAGTATGAGTTTTTTTTATTTTTTTTATTCAACACAATTTACATGAAATGTTGTACAAGCTGTGAAGCTGTGAAGCGCTAAAAGCGCTAATTTCAACTCCAGTTGCGTGGTTGCGGTTAGCCCGAGGGCTGTTTGTTCCAGTGGGGGACAATAGACACGTTGCATTATTGAAGAGATCCAGCGCGCGGCTTCATTTGGGATCACGGAAATGACAGAATAAGGTTGAACTTGAAGGAGGAATTCCCGGCGACGGCAAATACATTTGTGTCACAGACAAAACGTGTCGGCCATCAAACAGGCGTGCCGGCCCTCTTTTCTCCTTTACAAGTTCATCTTCATGCGAGTCATGCATGTTGCAGAAGTCATATTTATTCATGCGTTTGCAATCTGACAGTAACACCCGGAGATTTGCACATCGACAGAGAGCCGGTGAAGATTAGCGCAGCCACAAGACACAAAATCATTATTGTGTATTTTCCTCAAACAGCAAAAAAAAAGATGCTCACCAAACAACAAATAAAAAAAACATAACATTGCGTCTCATTAAAACTTATTTTCAACACCAAACAAAATATTTTGTGTTCTGGAAAGTGCTAATTGCCCTTCTTTGATGCATTAGGCAGCCGTTGGCATTCTGTGGACTAATCAGGCTGATCGGCGTCCTCCGCATCCTCCACGTGCTGCGCTTTAAATGTCTGGGTCACTTTTCTCTCCGCCGTCTGCCGCTGCGGTTTGTAGTGGCTTTTAATTCATTTCAAGCCGCTTTTTTTTTTTTCGGAATGCCAACAACCTCCCATTTCGACCAGACGGTTGTCGGTGGGATTTTTCATTGGGGAGAAATAGCTGCCGAAACTACGTTACGGTTCGTCGGCAAAATGTTTCGGGTGTTGTTCAGATGCAAATGATCGTAATAATGACAAAGAGAAGGCTGGAAACAAATCTATACGTGACTTACCTTTTGGAGGGGAAGGCTGTATTGGAGCCGGGGACTGGATTTGGACATGAGGCCGGAGGCGTTCACACCGCTGTCCCTCAGGCTGCGGCTCTCGGAGAAATGAGCCTGGAGTTTCTCCCTGTGTCTCCTGTAGGGTGGGGGGGGGGGGGCAGGTGTGTGTGGGTGGAGGTGGGGCGAGAGACAGAGAGAGATTGTAATACTGTGACCGAAATTAAGATGTTTTTGGACAATTAAGACTGTAATAACTACGACCAAAATTTGAGAAATTGATTCTAATGAACCACTCTGTAAGCTTTCATACACCCATGTAACAGCAAGGTAAGTGTTCATATTAATATACATGATATACTTTAATGCTGAAAAAGGAAAAACACACTCATACGTTCATTACTACATTGGAAACAGTGGACGCTTTTTTTCCGGGGCTGTCACGGAAGGTTTAACGGAAGTAAAAAAAGTGGTCAAACTGGTAGCAAAAATAGCATTAAGGGGAAAGATGTCTTGCACAACTGAAAATTTAATTAAGCAAATGTAGCGTGAAACGTCCATTACATGCCTTTGTGATAATTCGCTGGGAAAAGGAATAAATTAATGACAACGGTTCTCCAGAAATACCTTCACACAGAGTTTCCATCTACAAGGAACATGTCTGGCTGAATGTTTTAATGGCTGGATAATGTGCATGCATGTTTAATCCAAAGCTACAAAGTGAACACGTCACATTGATGGTTTATTCAGCCATTTGCATCCGGTGACTTTTATGCTTCATCAATAGCTTTTGTTTTGTCACTTGCATTATGTTCACCTTAAAAATTGCTAAAACGTGAGACGAGCAAACAAAATGTTTTAAAAAAACTATATTTAAAATGCGACAGTCTTCCTTCATTTTGGATTAAACGTTAGATTGTATAATAAAATACTTGACGCCAGAGTAAATTAAATGTTAATTCATCATTAAATGTTCATTTGCAGCTGATGCTTCAAGCCCGGAGCAAATTAGACGAGGTCACCGCCGGAGCGCCGTGCAACGTGTTCGTTGTGCTTAACCTTTCTTGCAGTGTGATTTGTATGCTCGACAGGATGCGTTTTCCTCCGCGCGCAATTGGCCGTCTCCTGCTGATGCGTGGCTCGCCTCCGACTGTCGCACAATCAGGGGATCGGGATTGGAGCGCCACACGGAAAACGCCCAGACAGCTCGAGCGGGCGTTTGAACCTTTATTTTCACCTTTATTTCCTTTAGAGCAAGTTACTTTTACTTTTTGAATGTACTTATATATATTTTTTTATTTTGTAGTTTGCCTACATCTTTTTAATTTAATACCTTTATTTTTTACCACTTATGTCTTTATTATATTACATGTCATTTAGCTGACGTTTTTATAACCCATGACTCTTTTTGCGCAGGGAGCATTAGGGCACTTGAGACAATATGAGCAGCCAGGGTTTCGAACCGGCAACCTCGCGGGTTCCCGGCGCAGCCTCTCTGCTCCATGTGCCACCGTCGCCATCTTACGCTGCCTACCGGTCTCTTCCTTTTATGAGCTTGGTTGTAACTCCTGGCAAGTAGTAAAAAAAAGGCTTATTGGGTAAATGTTTGAAGAGGACAACAAACTGTGACTAACTGTTGGTTTGATTGCGAGTTAGAAGCAAGAAGAAATAAATGTTTTCCCTTCAGCATTCTGCCTTATCCACATATCATTGACTAGGCTTTGATTTTCCTTTTTTTTAAGGTATTTAAGTTTTTAAGTGTACAAGTAACCCTCTTATCGCTAACTCTGTGTGGAGGTAAACAAAATGATCAGAAAGGTAAATCTACTCTATGAAGAACCGATACAAATTAAAGGAGGAGTCTGGGTTTGGATCATTTATTTAACCGTTGAGCAAAGACTCTCTGGGCACTCTGACCGTAAAAAATAAAACCCATTTTTGTTTATCAACACCAAGTCAATCAACCCGACCTACATTAACTCCCTCTTTTCACTTTGTCATTACTTTCACTTTGTCTACGTTGCTTTTCCTTTTCCTTCCCCTGAGTAATTGACTTCTCTCATCTCTAACTCACAGTTGAGATGTCATTGTGCGTGTGTGCGTGTGCGTGTGTGTGTGTGTGTGTGTGTTGCCTGCTCTACGAATGTGGTGCATGGCTTGCGTCACTCACTTGTTGCGGCGGTAGAGAGCCATGCACGCCACTCCGAGAAGACAGATGCCCGAGGCAATGCTGAAGATGGACAGCACCTGCCGCTGGTAAGTGTCGCCGCTCTCTGCAGAAGGAGGGGGGCGGGGGGGACACAGTTCAGGCCATTGGGTGTCTTACGGTGACACAAAGCACATGAGCCGAGATTGAGCATGTGTGAGTGAATTAACATACCGAGCTCACACACGAGCAGCGAGGGGGGGGGGGGGGGAGGACCCACAACCACGGCCGCACGCACACATCCAACCCAGAAATGGGAATTAGCATAGAGGCGGCCGACGCTGCTGTCAGTAAATGTCAGTGTTTGAGTACGGGGTATAGGGACATGACAGACCCGGGCAGGGCTCAGTGACATGTGCTAAGTGAAGTGTGATAATCATTTTGTTCAGACAAAGCCAGCAGGCGAAGAGCACTGGACTGTCTGCACAGCAGGGGCCCAACCGCACGCACGCGCATGTGTGTGTGCGTGCATGCGTTTACTATGTGTGTGTGTGTCAGCGTTCAGAGAATGACGGCGACAGGAATTAGCGGCAAATGAATGCTGCAGGAGTTCCCTGTCAGAGCCCTGCACATCAACAGAGGAGGCTTAAGGCCGACAAGCAGCAGTTGATCGTAGCGGATATTTGTCCGACCGAGCAGCTGCATCGTGGGGGTCGAACCACTTGCCATCGTCCATAATGCATGAGGGCGAGTGTGGGCCGTGCACTGGCGAAGCAAAAAACGAATCGCACGATGGTCAAAATGAGCCACAGTCTAAAACCTGCGACTCCTAATTACGCAACCAACCCACTGGTTTTCGTGACCCCCCCCCCCCCCCCCCTCCCCGGAACCAACCTCCCGTGACATTCCTCAACTCAATCAAAAGCAATAAATCCCCCTGGTTCTGATGTCGCCACCTCTAAAAACAGCGGGGCAGAGTGCAGAAAACATCACAACAGTAACCTTTACGCGCTCGTCTGTGGCTTTTGACGCTGTCACGGAACCGTCCTGGGAGCTCGTCTTCCTCCCTTCTTGTCCACTCCGGTTATCAACTTCCTCTCGCGCCGGTTTTGAGGGCACCGTCGGATGGCCTCTCGGGAGTTCAAAGGGTTGCACTGGAGTGGCAACCGAGCACGGTGTTTTCACCGTCTTCCCTTTTATTTGTCTCCCTCTGCGTTACGTGAGTGCTGCGTCAGCGTTTTTTCCGGGGCGGCGTGGGGTAACAGGGTTCAAAGGCAATGCAAACCTTCTTTTAACATTCGAATGCTTCTGGAAGAATATGAAGATAACATTCGAATAAGTCCTGAGTGAAGTACAGTGGACCATATTAGTGGGGATATACAGTATATATATATATATATATATATATATATATATACATATATATATATATATATATATATATATAGGAGTCTATACTGCCCACTCAGCTTCTGTGAAAAGGAGGCGGGATGGATTGGAATTAGAATTAGAATTAAACTTTGGCGGTCATGTTAGTGCCTTGAAAAGAGAAACTTTGAGAGACTCACTAAATTAGTTAGTTTATGTTTTGCATATTCTAACAGCATATTTGGCTATTGTTCATCTGATGTGCTAATTAAAAGAGTTGCAATAAAGATGATTGGGGCAGAATATTTTCCATGCGGAAAATAAAAAGAATATCAAGTTGCTTAAAGTAGGTACGACTTGATTTCATACAGCAAACCTTACAGGAAACCATCAAGTCGTTTTAAGAATGAATACCTAAAGTAGTGAGTGTATAATACTATACAATACATTAATATATTAATGTAAATCACTATAAATTAAGGCTAATTTCTCACCTGAGAATGTAACTGGTGTTTATGCTGCAATTTGTTGGACTGAAATCTTCTTATTTGTATCGGCAAATGTGGATAATATCAGACCTGGGATATTATGGAGCCAAATCCAGGTCAAAAATTGAATCAAATCTGAACCTTTTTGTTGTTGAACATTGAAAAATACAACAATGCATTCAAAATAAAAATAAGTGGGAGAAAAATATTTTCGCGATGAATATAGTTTTGACTCAGCTCTATACTTTTTTTGAATAAAATAGTTTTTTCTTTTTTTCAATCATCACTTGTATATATTTTTTGATATTCACTCTATTATATTTTTCGGTTGCAGATTTTATATTTTCAGATTCAACACCAAAACTTAAACTTTCAGGTTCACATTTGTTTTTCAAATGAACAAAACCTTTGACCTGGATTGGGCTCCATAGGATATGACCGTCAGGTTCTTTATGCAGTGGCAAATAGCATACTTGAAACTAATATTTAAATGATTTAAAATGGTGAATCGGTCTCACAGAGCCAGGCTGTTATCTCTGTGGCACACAGCAGCGGATCTATTCATGCACTTTACAAATAAACAACAAATGCCACTTTTATTTTCTGTATCCTTGTAATCCCCGCTGCCCGTAACCGCCAGCGAAATGACCTCTCGACGGTTCCATCTTTGAAACATATGGGAACTATCCCGTCCTTCGGCCACAACATCAGTGGTCATTTGCGGCGCCACCTGGGACGAGCCTCTGCCTTCTCCTGGGTAGATGACGTCGGCCTGTTCCAAAGCCTGAACGCAAAAAACAGCCGTCTACAACGATCTGCTGAATGGCTGCGAGGGGAAGCCCACATGCAGCATGTATATAAAACCATTACAGGGCTTTCATGCCCGATGCCTACGAGGAAATCTCGAAATTAGATGCAAGAAGCATTTTGGGAAACGGAACTAACTGAGCAGCCTCTGCCACATCGGCTGAGACGTGTCTTATGGGTCCCCAGGACAATACAATTCCATACGGCAGGCGATGCCGTATGCATGGTCAGATCAACATGCTGTGAGGAGAAGCATGCCAAGACATCCGGGACAAAGTGGGTAGGAGAATTAGCCTGAAATACATCAGAGCAAACTAGACATGCAGGGCTTTGGAAAGCCGCTGCCCCCCCCCCCCCCAAAAAAAAATGACAAAAAGGCAAGATTACCAAAAGCACTCAATCCCACTTCAATTACAGCTTTGCTGTACTCGGATTGACATTCTTGGGCAACACACATTTGACTTATATAACAGCTATCAAAAGATTCCTTTCTACAGCAGAAGAGGAAGTCCTAGTGCAACACAATAGATGAGCGAGAGACCACGCACATAAAAAACAACCTCCGTCTTTCGCCCGTGCAGCTACCCATCGATCAGTCCTCTTCTCATCCCCTCTAATGCACCCGGCCGCCCCTCTCCTGGAGCATTCTGGACTAATTTAGTCCCCAGATTAAAATCACTGAACTGGGGAATGTCGTGTGAAGCGGAGGCTTCTGCTTTTGGGGGCGTCCGCAGCGAGTGCGCGATGTGGCGGCAGCATGTGAGGCCCCGCTAATGGAAAACTTCAACAACGTGCAATGTCGGATTTCATGTTTGCACAAAAGAGAGTCAGAGAGCGAGGAGACGATGGCAAAGAGAAGATGAAAAATGCTAAGTGTGGCGCTGTGGAGGTGGTGTGCAGGAGGGTGGGGGTACAATTGCATATTCCCTCTGGACAAGGAACAGTGTGACATTATTAACAAAAGACGAGCTCGATCATTTGTTTGTTTTTTGAGATTTTCTCCCCCGGAAGGCTGAAAGGTACCCAACCAGAGGTTGAATTGTAATTCCATCGCCTTGCATTGCATCTGCGCGTTGCGTTTCATAGCTCAAAACAAAGACAGATGTTTTTCTGCCATTATATTTGTAATGCAACGTCTTCAGAAGCGGCCGGTGAGCCGACTACACATACGCGTGGCATGCAAGCAGACGTCCAATTGTCAACCTGCCTCATTGTTGTCTCTACTGCTCCGTCGTCTACAACAGCACTGTTCCTCATGCAGACAGCATACACCTAATTCACCACAAACGGTGTTTCCATGGCGACCGGCCCGCATTAATTTTCCAAGGTGAGCGGCCTTGTTTCGCTGGGTTGTGTGCTTCACGTGTGGTATTTCACGGACGCAAAGCACATTAACCAAACCTCAAAAACAGTCAATGAAAAGTTGTCTTACCCATGAACTCAATCCCAAGTTCATCCACTGTTCCGTAAAAGGCAGGATAGCATGAGAGAAAGGGAGGGGGGGGAGAGAGAGACAGGGGAGGGGGGGGGCGGGGAGATAAAATAGTTACAACATGATGTGCCTCTATTTTACTCCGAATTCACCTTCGGGGGAGAGCAACTAGAGCACAAAGTTGGTTTGACGGCTTCCTCTGACATGGCTCTCCCTCGTGCACCAGGTAATGAGCCAGGCGGCCCCAGATGCTTGCTATGCTTTTTGCGAGATGCACTCTGAAATCACACAGCCGACAGCGGCTTGGAATGGAGAAAGAAAACAACAAAGACATGGGGGCGGGGGTGGGGGCAAGAGGATTAGACAAAGTATCGTGAAAATGAAAGTCGAAGGTGACATATCGTACAGCTTCATGTCACGGACGTTGCTTTGCACGGAGCTTATGTATTGATTAAAGCCTGAGGCGTTGCGCTGATTGTTCTCCGAGCAGAGCTGTTCAATATTCAATTTCTGGTCACCTATAAAGGAAACACACGTGTTAAAATGCATGCAAAACTGCGGGCATTCAGTATATCCCACGCTTGTTTTTGTCTCCCCTACACACACACACAGACACAGTCTTCCTTCATGCAGTTAAGACTTTTCTCCCCAATCCCAGCGCTGGGGGAACCGATAAAAAGGAGCACTCGTGTTCTTTCCACCCTGACAGTGTTCCTTTTTCATGTCAGTGTAATGTAATCTCATTTAAATTAAAATGAAACCCTCACTAGTAATTGCTTTTCTGACAGAGGTGGTCCTAGTTTTAAATAGAATGTGGCTTGCCAAGCTCCTGGCAGATTAAGTAGTGGGCACTCTCCGAATAGGAAAAAGAAAAAGGCTAACAGGGAGGGGGGAAAAAAAACACATCTGTTCTCGGATGCGTTTTGATTGTACGTTGGGAAAATATTACAGCGCTACGAGTATGAGATGAAAAATCAAAACAGTAGAACCGAAGCGAGTTTGACATCAAAGACCAATGAACATTTAAATGAATGGATTTTAAATTATTGCACATGGTTATCTTTCTCTATTAATGGGTGTGATTTGAGCAAATAATATTTTTTATAATTTTATTGTGAAATTTGAAATAAAATTATAAATCAAGATAATGTTTCAGCGAGCATTTAGATCCTTTGTTTTAAATAACAGGGAACGTATTTACTCCGTGCCTAATAGGGATAGGGGATTTCGAGAAAAAAAAATAGAAACGAAGGCGGGTTTATTGTCCCGTAGTTAATCAATCGATAAACAATTTGTGTTGGTATTCCAAGAGAGGTAAGTGTCATCATGTTTTAACTGAACGCATTAATTGACGATGTACAGACTATCTTGCAGCCTTGCAGGATTATTATACACAGATTTGGATTCACAGCAATACATATATATATATATATATAAACTGCGTAAATAACCGCATGATTAAGATGAAGACGAGACCTCTGTTGCTAGGCACTTACGTTCACTGTGTAACAAACTCTCTGCAAGGCCAGATAAATCAACGCAGTGTATCACTGATGCTGCCTGATCTGTGTTATCCATTCAAGCTTTTCTCTGTCATTGCCCATGGCAACAGCCAACACACCCCCCCCCCCCCACGCCTCCATATTCCGTTTTAAAACGCCCTGAGTGTCACAGGTTGTGGGGAAGAAGTTTTAAACACCTGAGGACATCCCTCTTTCTGGCATGGCCGGCTGGGGAAATTCCCCAAATAAAAAAAATGGGGGTCCCTATCGAAGCACTGGCAGCTCCAAGCCCCCCCCGGGAATCGTTTACGCCGTCTTGTGGGAGCCTTGAGCGAGCTTGAAGAATACCTGTGCATCGTGTCAGAGGCTCTTGGCCCTGATTAAGAGGCAGAAAACTGGCGTGTGGGAGAGACAATGGCAGAAGTGAATCAGCTCCTTAATCCCCCTCCTTCGTTTGGGTGAGCAGAGAACTGGGTAGCCAATCTGTGTGTGTGTGTGTGTGTGTTATTGAACTCAATATCCTGTGCAGCTACTTACTCCAGACCTAATAGCTATCGAAGACAAATAGTTCCCATTTGAGGCCTTCTTCCTTCCTAAACCAACATCAGTTCCAGGCCCTTCAACTATCCATAGACCCCCCTACTTGCTTGCTATGCACCGATATTCAACAGTACGGCACCTTTTCCCCATCTTATGTCTGTGTCTGGGTTCACATAGTGCAGCTGGAGTACCTGAAAGGGGGCTTTTTTGTCCTTTCCCCCCCCGGGCTTTTGAGATGTGCGAGACAGTCTTTCTACCGTCTGCAGACAGCGTGTGTGTGTGTGTGTGTGTGTGTGTGTGTGTGTGTGTGTATGACGGGGGTCTACGTGTGCGTGCAAGCCAGTGTGGACCTCTCTGTTGAGTGGCCGGTCAATGCGATGACAAAGAGCGGCGGTGGGGGGGTGAGGTGAGTGGACGCTGAGGATTGATTCCAGAAATGCCTGTCTGATGCTGAAGACGCAGTATTAGATCCTGCGTGTAAAATAAGCATGTAAAAGCGAACCCGCGCCGAACATACACTGACACGCACATTTGAATGAATTGAATTGCCCTGGTGTTCGGCCTACTTGTAGTTGCTGATAGTGTGTGCATGTATGCCTGCATGTTATTATATGATTTGGCTTTAGGACGCAGGATTATCTTCAAAACCCTTCGTAATCTGGGTAAATTTTAGATTACTTTGTATCAACAGAGATCAAAATAGGCTTCCTTCCTCTGTTAAATCTTTCCGGGTACACTTATCTCTCATGGTGGCTGGACGAAACGCGGACAAAAAAAATGGTGGTAAATGTGTGGAGTTGCAGTACAATAACATTTCTTAAACATGTTTTGATGAAGCCATAATTGTTTCTTTCAATAACCATTTGATGGATATTGCGGCAAGACTTTTTTTTTTCTTCCTCTCTCCAGCCAAAAGAGCCTTTACATGCAAATATTGTGTATTCTCTCTCCCATTGCTGGGGGATGCGAATACTATGTGGCAGGTGTATGCTCATGCCCCGAGGAAGCACAGCGTCCAGGGTAAAAGTTGTTTGGATGAGCTCTTCTTTATACAGCTGCAAGCATCAATACAGCAGGCCACGCATTGAGTGTGTTCCCAACAGGCAAGCAACTTTTGAAATGGACACCCACACGCTTATATATAGGAGGATACATATATATATATATATATATATATATATATATATATGTATCCTATATATATATATATATATATATATATATATATATATATATATATATATATATATATATATATATAGGTGGATGTGGGGTTACTCTATGTTGACTCTGGAGCCTGAATGAATGAGACATCTGTTGTGTCTTATATAGAGATACTGTACATACAGCCAAGAAAGTTTTTCACCCCCATGTGTTCTTTTTTTCCCTCTGAAACGTCCTCTGTAAACTCCGCAAGTCATACATTTGACTTGTTATTCAGTACATTTATTGGAATACATTTTTAGTTTATCCGGAACTATTTTGAACTCCACTGCGTTTTATCCACGAATGGATGACTCATTCTTGTAGGTTCTCTAACTTTCTTGCACTATGATGCAATATAATAAGAAGCATTTCAAGAAATATTATTCATATTTTAGTTTGTGGGTTGGAAGGCATCGCAAATACCCAAATAATATGTTGTAGTCAGACTTTTCTTTAATTCTCTATTTCTTTGTGATGAATACTGAATAATTGTATCCAAACAGGAATCAAGCAAATCAAACTTTGAAGGAAAGATTACCCTTTGCCTTATCGTTTACACTTCACATATGGCATAAAAAAAGATACCTCAAACTACACTGGATACACAAAACAGTAACGAGAGCATTGAAACAATTTTGTGATTGAACTGTTTTCAATGCAGTAAATATGGTCCCTGGATTTAACACAACAAATGTATGTACAGGATATTTCATGTCATTTACCACGTGGAACAAAGCGTATTTTAGAATTCTGGGGCTCATTGTCTGCCGATACAAGATCAAATAAATCCCGCTGTGCAGACTGGCTGCAGTGAGCGAGGGAGAAACATGCGTTGTGACATTGGCTTGTGACCCCAATAATAAACTCTCGGTGGGCCTCGTGGCAGCAAACAGAAGGCAATAGAGTCACTCCATGAAACAGTGTGATTTTGTAAAGCCGCGGGCACACGGGAAAGACCAATTTCTCTTCCCTGCACCTCTGCCTTTTGCTTCATTTTTTAACTACTCTACACGGCTTTAATGGGGATTCAAAGACTCCTCGGGAATTGTTTTTCATGTGCGGTGGGAAACTGAAGACATTACTTCCTTTTAGCGGGACGAAAACAAAGCAAGAACAAAGAGGGTAATACGAGATAGTGGTTTTATGCACAGGTTTTAGTTTTGATATCTCATAATTAAATGTGGGCCAATAAAGGAAGCAGTCTGTGCCTAGTAACTAAATTCAGTTTTAGTGCTCCAACCATAAAATTCACATTTTAATAGTATTAATAAATGTATCATCACGTGTTAAACAAATATTTGTGTTTTACTTTATGCCTTAAATGATTAGACGAAAAAAGGGAGGAAACTCGGTGGGGGAGTGAGGGACATCCTACAAAAGTGAACACTGGATTTATATCTATCCTCTTTTGACTGATGCAATACAGCCACAGATTCATTCCACGGATCAACGTATCAAAGGGCAAATAGAAAAGGAGCGCGTACTTGGGTCGGACAGGATAGCATCCGTCTTGGGTACGAACTGGTCACAGCGTAGTCCATGGTAGCCCTCTTTACACCTGCAGAGAGAGGGAGAGGAAAAGGAGACGGAGAGCGCGATTAGAAGAAAGACAAACCAAGCGCTAAGTGCCGGCGCGCAGCACGAGACTTTCCAGATAAGGAAAGTCAAGAACCTAAAATATGAGACTCAATGGAAAGTAAAAAAAAAAAAAAAAAAAGTTGAGTGTTCACCGAAGGCCTGAGGTGGCAGGGCGAGATACACAGAATCTGTCGAGAGGGTATTGGGGTGAGAAGAGAGAAAAAAGAAAACGGGAAGGGGGAGATGGTCTGGGCAGGCCTAAGCAGCGTCTGCAGCCTCACTGATAGCACATGACTGACAGGAATGCCACGTCCCGGTGGAAGAAGCCGGGTATTGGGACGGAGAGTTCTTGGCGTGATGCAGACGAACTCAAGATCTACAGTGGAGGGGAAGCTGCCGTGGTTGGAACGCTCCTATAAACAACGTCCTGGCACAGCGCGGATATTTGCCTTCATCACCCAGTAAATATCTTCCCGCTCTTGACGCCTGCGGATCCCTCAGCAACTGTCATGGATGTATCCAGCACGATTATAGACGTTTTTTTTCAAGTTTGTCTGGGTAGTGTTGCAATATCTCAGCAACACCCTCATCGCTCCACATTGTCATACATGTACAATTCCAGTTAATGGTTGGGGATTATTTATTTTTAACAAAATGAAGAATGAAGAGAGAAGAATAACATTTATTCTGTCAAAATAAAACAAAATAAATGTAAAGTTTGCTGTTGTCCCTCTGCACTCAGCCCTAGTTTGGTAAAATCCTCAACAGCTTTTGTCTCAAAGGACATTTTTATTGCCTCTCTTCAGCAGTGGCCACACTGTGAGCTCATTCAGTGGGCTGATCCATCCCTTTTTACAGCTTAGAGGAGACAATTGGGGGGGGATTTGCTTTGATGTGCCTCTTTCAACATAAACTTGTACTTGAGTGAGCGAAGTGTCGCAGTCGTCTATATCGTCTCTCTCGGTCGATGACACATTGTAGGTGAACTGCGGGGATTTGCGCTGGCGCATTATCTGTCAATATCTGTCCACCGCGTGTCCACCGCTGTCACACGCAGTATGATGTCCCCGCTGAGTGACGGAAAGAAGTCCACCTTTCGCCCTCATTCAGTTCGGCTCATTCTGACAAATACAAAACAAGAACGGCCGCCAGCGAAAACTGTGTGAGATTGTCGTCTTGTTTTGTTTTTAATATCTCAAGCTGCAGTTACAGCTTTCATTTGTTCATTGTGCCCCAGCTGAGCGTGTGCAGCGTCTTCTGCCTCCTATTTCTTCTGTAAAGCAGTATGGAAATGACGCAGGATACGGCCCTCTTATTTTTGGCTCCGAGCTGATAGTGGTGCCAATGCCAATCTCTTTTTTCACCAGGGTATCCACATTTTGCACCTGATAAATGGCTCCAGAGGAAAAGTCTCCCACCATGTTAACTAGAGTGTCTTGAAGATTAGGTGGACAATTTGCATTTAAATGCAATTGCATTTTCACCTCTTTAGGTCAAGATTCTCAATGAAGCATTTGCTGAAATCTGGTGAATTCTTGAAAATATCTGTTCCTTTGACTTCTTAAATGCCCCATAGTGTTCATCAGGTTGTTTTTTCCATCTGTCTATTGGTGCTGGAGAGCTAACAGTGGGTTTTTAGAGCTAATTTGCTGAAAACAGCAGCCTGCGGCCTCTGGAAACGTCCCTAAACGAGAGCGTGGAGAGTTAATCAAAACAGCACAGAGTTCTGTGCCAGCAAACCACATCAATGGGCTCAAAAATATTGTAATTCTTCATACAGCTGATCGGATCTGCAGAGTTGCGTTCTTTATTAATAAAAGGGATACTTTCCCCTCCCGACACGTACAGACATTAATTCCATTGTAATGAAAATGATTGCAGCCATTTAAAAGAGACTAACCGAAGGATGCACGGAACATTTTAAGTCATTGGTGTTCTAGAAAGTGAGTTAAAAAAGCTCTTGAAATCCCTGTTTATAGCGACGGTGGAAACAGTCAATTTGTGTTCTGTGGCAGTAAATACTCAACACTGCACCTTTAAACACATTTCTGTTCATCGGATGTTTGAAAAATACCCTTGAAAAAGCTTAAACTGGTCATTTCATTGATAAAGTAAAAAAAAAAAAAACTCTATGTTAATCTGTTTTGCCATGCAAAAGAGGGGATAAAAAACGTAATACTCTCATGTCATTGTCTCTCCCACAGACAGGTTGTGTACCTTTTAATCGCACTAAAATGAATGACAAAGTCCCTGGCGAATCTTTCTTTCATGCACACACAAACAGATCAATGAGAATATGTTGTTATCTTGTGTTATAAAGCCGATAATATTAATTAGTTTCATTAATATGACAATATTTTGGCCTTACAACTGCTGTCTTGCTGGACATTTTTCAAGAAATGCTCCTTAATAGTAGAGACGTAGGGTCAGGGATTTATTGTTGGCAAAATCAAGTAATGCGGGTGACACTGCAGTTCCTTCTATCCATACATGCTGAATTACCCGTCTCTTGATTGCTGTGCATTTGTGAGCCTGCGCTGGTTTTGTTAATAATTTGCATGATATAATATAGCTCTAATAAAACGTCTGTGCTGATCATAGCATCAGTTGGAGTCTCGTGGTCATTGTTCATAATGCACTCACTATGCAAATGTTTATCTTCACATGTAAACAGCAAAAGCTAATATGATTTAAGTGATCTTAAAAAAGCTATTTTGAGAAAAAATATGAATCTGAAAATCCATTTAAATACCATCACTAATTACCCTAGCCCCATTGAATCGCAACACACATTTTAGAGTGGAATGGAATATGCTAAGTAACATCGGATATGATGCGCGAAGTACCGATCCCAATGTCTAAATGTCTGAATAACCACCAAATGAAAACTGCGGTTGTGTTGGAGTAATTATAACATTATAACATTATAACAAGGCCACATTGGGATTCAAAACATGAGAAAATCCCAGTAGAAGCTGGTGTTTTTGACACATACATTCATCCCACAGCCGATAAAACGCACACATCTCCCCAGGAAGCCTTGTTGCTGGTGATACTTCCCGAGTAGCCAGATACAAACTTTTAGGACAGCCTTTTGTTCGCAGTTCGAAACGGATTCATTGATCGGGGCCCCCGAAACTCGAGCCCCGCCACGCCGCCAATCATGCACCGTATAAAAACTCAACGGTGAGCCGTCTCCCTCGCCTGCCGTTGCTCGGCTCCGTCCTGCATCACCTTCTGTCCCCGAGTGTGAGCCCGAGACGCCTTGTTAGTATTCTCCATCTTACGCCAGTCTGGCTCTCTGTTTACGCCTGGACTTTCTTTCTGCGCGTCTGCGTCTCCATCTCTGCTCTTCTCGGCAACTCCTCGGCGCTCTGTGAATGCACTTGTGTGTGAAACGCGTCCGTCGAATGGATGCTGAACAATGCGAGATAACGACGCGCCTCCAGCGTGTGTTTGGGCAGTGGGGGAACAACAGCAGAAACCAGATGTGTGTGTGTGTGTGTGTTCCTATCATGTAGATAGATAGATACTTTATTGATCCCTCAAGAGGGAAATTTTGTTATCGCAGCATGTACAGGGAAGAGTAGAATAAAAAGATACACATTATATACAATATAATAAGATAACAAATATTAAATTATAAAATTAAATTAGTAAGTAAACTAAACTGAAACAAAAGAATAACCTTCAAAAGAGACAATAATAATAATTTGTAAAAGGAGAAGAGGAAGAGCAGCAACATCACAGCAGTTAGTTTAGCCAGAGATGATTTATTGTAAAGTGTTATTGCACTGGGCAGGAATGATCTCCTGTATCGGCCCTTGTGACAGCGGAGCTGAAGGAGTCTGTTGGAGAACGTGCTCCGCTGTCCCTGTAGCAGGTGGTCAGGATTATCCAATATGGACAACAGTTTCTTCAGTGACCTCCCCTCCAACACCTTTTCCAAGCTGTCCTGTTTGCAGCCAATGATGGAGCCGACCTTCTTAACAAGTTTGTTAAGTCTGTTGGTGTCACCGGCTCCAACGCTGCTCCCCCAGCGGACCACGGCCAAGTACAAAGCACCGGCCACAACAGACTGATAGAACATCTCCAACATCTTGCTGCACACATGGAACGATCGAAGCTTCCTCGGGAAAAAGAGTCGACTCATCCCCGTCCCGTAGACGCCGTTGATGTTGGTCTTCCAGTTCAGTCTGTTGTCGATGGAGACACCCAGGTACTTGTAGTCCTCGACCATGGCCACCTCCTCTCCCAGAACCCTCAGCGGTAGCGGAGCCGTCGTCTTCCTCCCGAAGTCCACCACCATCTCTCTGGTCTTGGCCACGTTCAGGAGCAGGTGATTTCTGCCCGCCCACACCACAAAGTCCTCCACTGCTGCCCTGTACTCCTCCTCCTGTCCATCCCCTATACACCCCACCACTGCAGAGTCATCAGAGAATTTCTGCAGATGGCAGGATGTAGACGTGGCGCATGTTTTCCTCCCCCACTGCTCCGCAGTAGCGACTAGCCTTTTAACACATGTTCAAGTCACAGAGAAAACACACCTCTGGGTCTGCAGGACGACGGAGGGGAGGGGAGCGCCGCCTCACAACTAATCACCCCCCGGCCGTTAATCAGCTCTAAGAAAAATGGGGGATAGTTGGAGCGCCGGGGGAGGGAAAAGCGGTTCAAGGAGGAGAGAAGGGACAGGAATGTGATGGTGTCAACCTCACTTTTTTATTTAATCCCTGCCGCCCGTGAATTTTAGCTTCCACCCGTGACATGAAAGAAGGGGACATGAGCTCCGGTTTTACTGCGTAGCCGGTTAGCGCTTAGTGACTACATGCCTGCAACTCACACTGACGCAAAATATCTCGTGGCCATATTTCATTTCTGCCTTCACCTTTAACAGCCTCTCTTGACATCCAAATGGGTAATTGTGTTGCACAGCTTGTAGTGAAAGTTTTACAAGACAATGTAAAACAAAATGTCTGTGCA